TTTCTCTCTTAGCGAATAATGGCGAAAATGGTGAAAATAGCGTAATTAAAACGAACGTATCTATTCGGCGAACCACAAGTACAAGTAGACACTGTTTCGATGACGAATTATTAAAGAATACGTGTGTGTATTTACGGAGAGCATGCGCGCAAGCTGATGTCTTTGTACATAATGGACGGTGATCGCGAGAAATCAACGTGATTTTATGTAATCACGTACAGGCGAGTATGTTAATTATCAACTGCTATGCGACGAGGAACATTAAAATGGAAGACAATTACGTTCGTCCATTATGACCGTAAACTTTTAGCCGGCCACTCAGACAGCACCGAAACGACGAAACGAAAAGTGAAAACGGATAGAAAATGCCGAATAGACAGAGTAAAGGCACACAGCACCAAGATATTTTCTCGAAAATAATCAAAAGTATACAAGATTATCTTATTTTTGCAATATAGAGCGCCGACCTTCCTCATAACGGTGGTGACACGAGACTTTTCCGAAATATAGAAGAATATCTTTTCTACGCAATAGTACGTTTTATCGAGCAGGAAACTACCGATTCTTAAGAAAAGAAAGAAAAGGGAAAAAAAAAGAAAGAAAGAAAGAAAGAAAGAGAAGAGAAACGAAAAAAGAGATAAGAGAGATCCATAATTTTAAGAGTAACGCGAGCTGTAACGTAAAGTTAGAGTACAGCAGACCGAATGTTCCTAATGTAATGCTTTCATCTAAATACATATATTTATAAGTATTTACACGATAGAGGTTCTAATATTTATACCTTGCTCTATGACGTTTACGTTTTGACTTTCTTTTCGAGGAACAAAGAGAAAATGATATTATTATACGAGAAATTACGTGCGATTTAATCGAGACCGAGGTATTTATAAGTTACGGATAATACGTGTATGCGAAAGGATGGTTGTCGAACGCGGTGTACTTGAAGCCGAATGATCGAAAGAGGCAATTCGCGACGTGTCCGGTATATCTGGCTTATATGGGAGAAGGCGTAACCACAGCGTCGTTCCTTGAATTTAATACAAACGTATACAAATTGATCAAATTCCATCTGGGAACAAGGTCTTTTATATAAGGTAGATATACGATATCGCACAAAAGCCATTGTACATTCGTGTCAATGAATGTTCTTACCATCGAGCGAGAAATATATTTTAAAGCCTTCGACGAATCGTAACGCGACACGTAGACAAAACATCATTGTATTTAACGTTCATCGTAACTATGTTCGGCATTACTTTTAAAGAAAAATGACGTTTGTTAGCGATTGTTCTGACACGATCGAGGGTACAAAAAACTAATCGAAGGAGCGAGAATCAAAATATTTGAGAATCAAAATTACGATGTAAGTTCATAGAAGTTCGTTGTTCGTCGATAAATATTATTTGTTAGTCAAGAATAGTTGGATACGTCCAATAATATAGTCTAATAATCATTAACAATGTCGTTTCATTCCCTTTTCCCCACTTTCATTAAACGATCCCGAATCGATAAACGGGTTCTTCTATTGCAATATATACAGCCACGGTCTAATTACGTTATCATAACCGATAAATGCTTGCTACGTATCTGATTACATATCATCTTGAATATCTCAGGCTGTAAGGAAACAATGGAAACTAAAGGAAATTAAACACTGTAATGCTCGTTTCGTGTAATCCATATACAACAATAATTCATTTTTACGAATCGAATGATAATTCCGTCCGGTCTGGTTGGCTATCGAGGAAATGGAATTCCAATCAAGCACACGTCGATAAAGGTCCCGATAAACTACGAGTGTAACAAGGTAAATATAATGATCGCCGATGGAAACGAAAAATCGAACATCGGAATCATTTCGCGTTCCAATATCAAGATTGATTCCCTTCGTATCGTACTTAATCTAACGATCAATGTAAATCGTAACTGCTACCTATTTCTTAATTCACGCTGCAATACGATACTCCACGATACTCGTAATAGGTTTCTTATTGTTATAGCAATCTCCATTATCAATGACAAATGTTACTTGCAACAAACAAGGCTCTCAACGTAGGCGACTGAAGGTCGAGAGTAAGTATCTCCCTGAAAATCAAATTTTACAGAAAACATTTCTCCATCTATCGCTCGTGTTACGTGTCGACCGGAAATTTCCATAATTGTAAGTACCCTCGATACATTCATAAATCGTGGATAGCATTTTAACAATGGGTTTATCCTTTTAGAAACTCCCATTAGTGAAACCGATTTTTTATACGTTTCCCTTGAGAAAAGAGAGAAAAAAATAGAAGAAGAAGAAGAAATAAGAGGTAACAATGGGAATAAATCCGGCCTATTTCTTTAGAATACCAATGAACATCTGCCTTTCTTATTTTCTTATGCCTCCCGCGGAATGAGTCACCGGTGTTCTTCAATTTATTGTAATTATTTAACCGAGAACGTTGCATCGAAGTTGATAACGCTGCCAATGCCATTCGTGTTGAAATTTAACGCACCGACCATATGCCGTGCGCAAAACAATTACTTACAATGCGGTAACGTTTAAAGTATCACGTTGAAATCTATGAATATACAATACACCGGAAGTTTTCGTGTTTAACGTTAGCAAGAAATTCATCGAAATATCTGATCGAAGATAAATTCAAAACAAACGTGATCTGTGTCGTTTAAAAAAAAAAAAAAAGGAACGAGAAGAAAAAAAAAAAAAAGATGAGAAAAAGAGAAACGAGAAAGAAAAGAGGAGTACCAAATACAGTAAGCTCGTAGAAAATCACTGCCAATCACACTGTGCATAATACGTTTTATAATGGTAGTTATAGCACGCGAATCGTGGAAAGGATCCACGTGTTTTACAGCCAGCAATAAAGCTGCTATAAAATTTGTTTACATTATAGTATTCAGATTAGCGAGAGGTGTCGAATGTCAGCGACTAAAAGATTTTATTGTTCATTCCGCGGTAACGATGTCAGTGGAATTAAACGATTTAAATGATCTAGCAAACGCGGGTGAATTCATTTTTATCGCATTTTTCTTATATTTTCGCATCGTGCGTCGACGTGGTTTCGCGTGCATCTGGTATTTACGAAATTCCACATTACGCACGTCGAGCTGTAACGCACAATTACCGTTTGATGAATCAACAAACTCGGGCGCACAGGCCAGTCTATGGCTCCGATATCATCCCTCGGACAGAAAATGAAAGCGACGGTACGGTACTCCTATTTTGAAATGTAAATATTAAGACACGTACTCGACCTACACTCGGTGTTATCGTTTATAGTCGTTCTCGTGAAATTAGTCTTCGAGCATGCCCGCCGGGTATGGTAGACCCAGGGAAACGCGTCCGTAAATCCTGTTCGTAGACGTTTCAGCGTGAGAAAGTGTCAGTGCGTGTATTAATAGTGATTTCCAGCGAAGCCGAACTCGATTATCAACAGCGGGCCGTGTAAAGTCAAAGTCCCTCCGTGCTAATTGCATTCGCGATTCTCTAAATTCAAGGGGCAATAAACTCCGCACGAAACCAACTGATATTATTATATTCCCCGGTATCCGATGAAATCACTCTGAAATTGACGGGACAAGGTGAGAAAATAATAACACTATCCTGACGAGTTACTCGACACCGGTGACGTTACGTATATGACGATCTTAATTCAGCTGAAATATCTTTAAACGATAACGGTACCGTGAACGTCTCGGCTTAGAAAGAAATTCATTTATTAACCTTGATGATCTCTTCGTTCACGATAGTTTAATCCAGTGGCACTGAAAGTATCTGAAATCTCGTTCGTGTCTGAATCGCGTGCACGCTCGATGGAAATCGGTTTTAATAAATCGCGCGTAACACTCGATAATGGAAATTATCGTGATCTCCCTGTGGTTATCTGCCGTCCGACGACACGAATCGTCAAATTTACGATTAAGGTTACACGACGAAGGCGTCACCTGTCAGGTACTTCCCTGTTCTGTTCGTGAGTTGCTCGTTGTGACGTCACCGAAAAGAACGAAGGTAAATCCCATTCGGTTGGCGTAAGCGCACGCACGGAATACCAATTGTTGAGAAATTCCTTCGAAAACGATCGTGTCGTGCCGCGGACGGATTTACATCCGTGCAATCGCATTTGCATCGCATGGGATACCGTAAAATGGAAATGAATGCATCTTCTCGGTCATCCGAACGTTCCATCGATCGGATGATATTCAATGAACGGCTCGCTCGATATCGCGCCATATTCGAATACTCGTCCTTTCGGTGAAATAAATAGGAAAAAGATTTCCTAGCATCGCGTAGGATTTTTCCAATGCTGAATCATTCTCCACGCGCAACGCCGAATCTTACGTTACGCGAACGTGAAATAATCGGGGGGAAAAAAAAAAAAGAAAAAAAGAATTACGATAATCGAGAGAACGTCCATTCGAGATCCACGTCGCCGATTCTAATCGAAGAATGAACGCAAGAATTGGAAGAACGCGAATAAAACGTTTGCGATTAAATCGCTTTTACATCTCGATCACGTACAGATGCAAATGAACTGGATGGCTTTGAGCAACCTGGATTTTACAAGGATCGGTACCTGTTATCGGGAACGATCGAGAACATCGGACTCGTTTTTACCTCGTCTAAGGAGAACTTACAGCCCCGACGAAATTCGCGGTTTTCTCGAAATCTGGATAACGCGCGCGCGGGACTGCAGGGGTATCCGCGTAGATAGGCGTATGAGGATCGAAAAGCGTGGAAAGGAGAAGAGGCGCCATACTCGGCAGGGATCCGGGGGATACCGGATCGATCGCGGTGTAAGATGGAAGCTTGTTGCGAGCGATGTCGCGAATCAATTAACGATCTACGATCCACGATCTATTTACAATAAGCTCTCCCACCATCGTCCGACGAGATAGCGCACGTGCGTATGTCCGGACAGCAGCACGTCGCATCCATGCATATGAGCGGTCGAAGTGCCGACAAACGAACTGAAGCTTCTTTTATCAGTCGGCCACGACCGCGTGAGGCAAACAGTTGAGTTCGCGCGACGGTGGTGCGTCAACCGTACGAAACGCTTCGCGCCTTCTTCCATCTTCCTTTTTCTTTTTCCTCCTTTCCCGCGGCCAATCAGCCTTTCTTCCTTCTACGATTCTCACGACGCTGGATCGATCATCGATCTCAGTGTTCCGTCAAGACTCGACGAAAACAGGTTTTTGTTTCGGCTCACGTAGCGAGGATCGCGAAGAGTCCCGTACGAAATCGCACGCGACTTCGACAACGAGACCGGACAGCCGCGAGCCAGAAGCGGCAGGGTTAATCGAATATCAAGGCACAATAAACGCTTTACGAGGAAACATCGACACGCTGGCGCAAATTCTTCAATATATCGTTACTACGTAAGTATCGGTCGAGATAAGACCTTGTTCTTTATTTTCCTTATTTCTTTCCCCTCGTCGAATCCCGATCCTCCTTCTCTCTCTATCCCACGTGTCGCGCGATGATTTTTGCTCGGTAATAACGTTCGGTTTCCACGATAACTGCCAGCCTAACAGCTCCCATATTCCACGCTTCGAACGTAAAACGGAAAGAATAAAATGTGACAGTGGTTTAAGCACGAATTGATAGCGGTGTAAAAAGCGCTACTCGAACTATAATTCGGAGAACGTGCCCGAGAAGCGCGCGTATCTCCGATGGTAACAGATTGCCGTTCCGAAAAATTGAACGTCGATATTGTTATCGAGATATCGGGATTTTTATCGTGTACACGGAGCACCGATTAAATGTACGTAATAGGTAGCAAATTTATTTCTGTAAACAGGTGCGGCACGTTGAGCTTCATTAATTATCTCGAGTAGTTGCGGTGTTTTTTCAACGGCGTGTAAAAATTAAATCAAGATACTCGGGAGTCTCCTTTGAAAGTGACACTGGAAATACTCGATTGGCAATTTCACAAAAAATCCTGCCCTCCAAGTAGATTCTGCAGAAATATTGCAAATGGCTGCTTTCAGCTTTTTCTCGCATGCGTGTAATTTAAATCCGACGACACGTGGACTTGGATTAATAGTAATACAAGACCTAAGTTCCTCGTGTCGTTAATGATACTATGCTGATCCCGTATATAAGGTTTCACGTGCTATCAAAACGACTAGACTAAGAGCAACGACATTAAGAGCGTGGTAAGACGCAGCTATCAGTCCGTGAATGTCTTCGTGCATTATCAATTAATGTATAATTCTCCGATCGATATCGGTCAACTAACGTCTATATTTCCAACAACAAGATTTAAGATTATCGGTGATATCGCAGATTAATCGATGTTCGTCCTGTGTGTTAATAAAATTCCACATTTCCCGTTCTAACCTTCTGTGTTAAAATTTCTTTTATATACGTCCCGTTTCTTTTAAACTTTAAAGGTCAAGGCTGACCGAAATAGGCAGGTCCGACGTGAAATTATCGCAAGTCGATCCCGGACTCTGCCAATTTCGTAGAGGATACCACAAGATCGTCCGCCAACACCGAACTCGGTACGTGTAAAAATGAATTCCACGTGAATGTAATCTTGCACTCGTGTAGCGTGCCCTAGCTCGGCTACACAGCCGATCTTCGACGCCCACGCGAGATTAACGCGACACTCGTGTGTTTCGCTGCTCGAGAAACACACCGGTGACTTCTTTAACCGTTATCCTTTATCGAATGGTCGCGAGAAATTGCAAAAGGGGACGAAAACGTATTGCAGATATGGTCGCTTTTCCGGACTCGTCGACTGAACCGGCGCTGCTGAACGTGACTGATATAAAGTTAAACGACTGCGTGGATTATAACGAGCATCTAGCAAACAAACCTAATGACAGGCGAGTTAAGGATCACGCGTTCACCATACAACGAGAGAACATGTCGAACGGCAAGGATAACTACGCTTTAGATTTCGATTGCATCGAGAAGGCACTGGATAACAAGCTGAATGCAGTAGCCGACATTAAAGCCGGGGCAGAAGTGGTGAAGAAAGTCGCAGGTGAGCAACGATTGACCGACCGTTCGTTTACGCATTTACATATCATGGGCTGCCGTTATTACTCACAGCCTTGGCATCAAAAATAAGACGAAAGATCGATGACAATCGAGCCGCTAATTTTGCCAGTGTCGAATGCTTAAATTCTGTCGTACGTGCTCCGCTCGAAAGGTCACGAACCGTACGACTTTTTATAGACATTTGCTCTCCGTAACGAGAAATCAACGCGGCAGGATAGAATGCGTCGCGTGTGTTGTTGCCGACGATGATAACGCACAAGTTCCTTTGTTTCGCGGACGATTCCATTAAACAACCGGCAAGCGACGAGGCCGGAGTACCAAGAGAGCCGATTGAAACGCGACTTTGCACAAACGAGCGTCCCACAGATTGATATTAATGAAAATCCGTTGTGTTAATTACTCGCGAACATGTTGATAAAACAATCGTGTGGTCGATCAAAGAACCCGTCGTATCGTATTCCCCACCGGGGCCACGAAACAATAAGGAAATATCGCGTCTGTATTGCAAATCGACTTATAAACAACAACAACCGGTCTAAAGCGATAACTCTGTTCGTTATTTTCCATCTGCTCGTACAGAACGAGGAGACGAGTTTCGCGGGAGCATCGAGAAGTACGATGCGGTCGTGCCGTTGCACGACCAGTCATTTACCTGACGGCTAAAAACATCGCGAATTCCTGCGAGTAAAAATTTGAGTAAGAATTAGCAAAGCTTTCGTCGAGCCCCGGGAATGCTAATGATTAACGCGAGGCCGGTGTTTAGATCAGTGATCCGCGATAACGTTTCGGCGAACGATTAAATTAAATGTTTTTGAAACGTCGTACGGTGCAATGTGAGATGTGTTGATTTCTCGATAGCGGGTCTGAAAAGCCCTAACAGCCAAAAGAACAAAACGGACATGTCACTGCCCAATCTCGGTGGTGGAACACTTTCCAGTGGAAGTTCCATAGTGACGATCTCTTCAATCGAAAATTCAGATCCCGATCCTGACTTCCATAATAACACGGATGGGTTTGGTAACAGCGCACTCAGGGACGAAAGATGGTATCACACCATCCTTCAGGTCGCTGTGCCTTTCTTCATCGCAGGGATAGGTACCATCGGCGCGGGCCTCGTGCTTGCGGAAGTCGAGGTACGTTTCTTTCGAATATTAATCAAATTTTTAAAAGCAATTCGTTGTATCGAATTCGATTATCTCCTACGTATCGCCGATTCTACGTTTCGCTGTAAATCACGTATTTTTCCCAGAAAAATTTCCCTTATCGATCACGCACTTCATTCTTAATTGTCTGAAGATAATGTCAAAACGCGTTGTAACGTTATTTTTTCAATTATCGCGTCTCCGTATTTTATCTGCAGTACAAATCAAAAATATGTTGACCCAAGAGCAGCAGGATTGTGATCTTACACATAGACACCTTCCTCTATATCCCCTGCTAACGCCACCCGACCCTTTGGTGCAAACATTCGCGATCCAAGATTTTATCGGCGTCTACTAATGTAGAAATTCTTGAAACGTAATTTACATTCCTGGTTGCATTCCATTTGTAAGAATAGTCCGTGGAACGTAATCCCCTTTAATTAAATGTCGTCTCTGTTTTAGCACTGGCCAGTATTCAACACCGTTTCTCAATTAATCATCCTGGTACCCTCGCTGTTGGGCCTGAAAGGCAATCTTGACATGTGCTTGGCCTCACGCTTGTGCACGCAAGCCAATCTGGGCAATATGCACGGGTTTCGAGAGATCGTGAAAATGATCATCGGTAATATCGCGCTGGTACAGATTCAGGCGATCGTGGCGGCTGTTCTGGTATCGATTTTCGCGGTCGTGGCCGACGCGATAACGAGAGGTAGCGCGTACACTTTCAAATGGGACAATTGCCTGTTATTAACCACAGCGAGCGTGTGCACCGCCACGAGTTCTTGCTTTATTCTAGGTAAGGCCGTTATCATTGATCATCGATCAATTTCTTATTTACGTCCTTTATTTCGGCCTTGCAAACGAGATTCGTTCGATTCCATCAACAATTAACGTTCATTCGGTATTTTGTGCATGTCGTTTCTTCTTATTAAGTAACTTCTTATTCAGGATACGTCGTTCATTTAAGTTATTGCATACCGTAAAAAGAAACAAGTTCATGCTTACCACGTTTGTTCTTTACTCCGACTCTTATGTATTTCTTTTTATTTTTCTCCTTTTTTCCTCAAACGTGTGTCGCATACCATGAAATTTTGTATCGCGCATGAGTCTCATTAACGTTCTTTCCTAACAGATTTCGTAATGATAGCAGTCATCATGATCTCGTACAAATGCAAAATGAACCCGGATAATTTAGCTACGCCTTTGGCCGCCTCCTTCGGAGACGTCGTCTCAATTAGCGTGCTATCGACGATCGCATCGGCATTGTTTAACAGAATGCCGCTGGAAACGTGGATTTTGTACGTTATACTCGGCTGCTACTTCTTAATCTTGCCATTCTGGATCTGCGTGGTTCTGAGAAACAAATACACCAGGAACGTGTTAACGTCTGGATGGGTCCCTGTTTTATCGGCATTGTTTATCAGCGGGTTCGTTTCAATTTCTCGCGCCGTTAATACTCGACGTAATCCTCGAGGCTAAACGACCCTGAAAATTATTATTTACATTCTGATTTAGATTCGGCGGTTTGGTCCTCGATCGAGTCAAAGACTCGTTCAATGGATTCGTGATCTTCCAACCAATTATAAACGGAATTGGTGGTAATTTAGTCTCCGTGCAAGCATCTCGAATCTCAACTACGTTACACCAGACGACGATTATGGGGATTTTACCGCCAGACTCGAAAATATTCATTGCCCCGTGGAATGCGCTGTTTAGAGGCTGTAAGTGATGCAAGAATAACTAATGTTACGCTGTTACAGGCTTTTTCACAGTTCCCCCCGATTGCGCAATAACGTTCGCTTTCATTCCTCAGCGCTGTACGCGAAAACGGCCAGAATACTCATTTGCATGGCGATTTTCGGTGAACTAGTCTTCATTTTTGTCGCCGATTACATGAAAAATGGAACGTCCACGTTGCACATATACTTCGTTTTCTCTTACATCCTCATGGCTGTTCTTCAAGTGAGTATAACGTTCGCGATTCGAGTAGAGTATCGAAAAAGTGAAAGGTCCGGAATGGCTGCGAAAAATAGGCGATTTTTGTTTCACAGGTTATGCTGTTACTGTACGTGGCACATATAATCATTCACGCTATGTGGCGATACAAAATCGACCCGGATAACTCCGCTATTCCGTACTTGACGGCCCTAGGCGACCTTTCCGGTACGATATTCTTGGCAGTGGCGTTTTGGTTCCTTACGTCTATACATCAGGAATACGGGAAATAGGGGATCAATCAAAGCGGCGAGATCGAAGCGTAAGAAAAGTTACGTATCAATCTTTCCCTCGAAAGTGTAATACTTGAATTTCAACAACGCTAAATCGGATCGACGTGAAGATGTTCGAAGTAACGAGGCAAAAGGAAGATGAGGATTAATTAAGAGAATGAGTGTTTCGTGGAAACGAGTACAGTGAGTTATTACGAGACGATCTGATTGATCCGAAACGGACAAAATAGCAGGATTGTTTTCCTCCATTAAGGGACCATCTTAATGGTACGTTAGTCGCGTTAATTAGTTATGCTGCGTACACTGAAAATAGTTGATTAGAAAAAAGCGTCACTGTTCTTCGAATAGATACACTAATAGGAAGAAAAAGTACAATGACACTGCTTCTAACGTAATTGGATCGAGCAATATGCTCTATCGTGATGTAATTTATTATGATTCAATGATCGTACAGTCGTAATTACATAAAATGGAAAAAAGAACGATGAAAGATTAATCATACTGACTGACGATTGCCCAGATTAACGAGATGTGTATTTATTTAGAAGATTTTAATTATATGTAATTGAAGTATTTTAAATAGAGTAATATGTTCACGTGCATTGTACTTCCAAGAAAACCTTAATATGCATAAGCAGAAGACCTAGTCAGTATTTTAACGCTGATTATTAACTTTATTGTAGGAAGATTATATATTAGCGTGAAAACACATTTGTATAATGATACATATCCTTTTAAAGTAGAAATTATATCTACAATTCGCAGAAATTTAACATAGATAATGCTTGGTGATTATAGATAATATTAACTTCTAAATATTTTATCGATATTAGGAATTCAAATAATGTTTTTATATTGATGAAACAAGTAATAGACTTTTAATGTTGTATATACAACATGATTCTTCTTCTTTTGATCGTAAAGTTACATAGTAAACATTCAATAGTATTCAATGAAAAGAAATTATCGAAACACGTTTTACAACAACTGGAATGATTGCTTTGGTAATAACACGTGACATAAATTATGCTGAACAATTTAAGCAAAGTGCTTGTTCATAAAATATATATTGCTGAACAAAGTATTGCTTTTGGTTCCTTAAATAGTATTATAACTATTAAATAATAACGAATAACTTTGCATAGCGACCTGTGATTTAGAATGATACCTCTTGTAAACAATATATGTGAACAATTGTACTCCTAAAATAAAACTTTATACCTCTCAAACTATGCTTTTTATAATAACAATCAACACTGCAGTTAAAGTAAATGAAACTATACTACTGCATGCTCAAAACTATACTATATGCATATACGCTTCTTACATGAATCAATGTTGTGCTATATTAAGATTCCTAAAATTTCCATAAAAAATTGAAATAATAAAGAACATTTTCTTTGTCTTCTTAAACACGTATATAACACTAACCAGAAGAACCGATTAAAACTACCGTAGTTTTATTCCTATTACATTTCACGAATAGAAAATAACATATCAATCTGAAAACCTATCCGACTAAAATATATCATGAATATTTCTCAAATATATTATTATCCGTGGTTCATCATTGACGATTCTAATACAACATTCTAAATAACACATCATAAACTACTTAATACAAAAAGATATAACTGTGTTATGTATCACATTCTGTGTAATAAATATGCAAACTTTGGTTAAGCACTGCTTAAGGTTATATTTCTTTGGCATGGGTCCCAAAGCAATTATACAAAATAAATGACTTAAAATAGATATCGTATAACAATTATTGTGTAATAATCACATAAGGAAGTAAATATATGTTTTTAGTGTCAAGAACATATCATTATTTACACTTTATACAGTACACCGCCATTACATCATACATGAAATGCGCGCGAATTTAACATTCCAGGGTACCCTATACAATTTTGTTTTCAAGACTTTCAAGTACCTATTTCGCGTATATATACATCTAATACCTCGAATAATATCAAGCTTCTATATTATATTCCATAGAATTATTATTTGTCGTAGTAATAAATTATTGCGAATACAAAATTTTACGTAAAATTTTACTTATGTAAAATGCAAAATTCTAATATTATTTCTTACAGCGAATATTTGGAAGTCGCTGATTAAAACATATATTTACTAACAGACAAAATTATTTCAAACTCGTGCAATAATACGTATAATAAACTTTTTATGTACTCACTTTCGAAGCATAATGGCAGACCTTATAGAACACCAGCGGAACAGCCAATTGCACAAAGAATTCACAAATTTGGAGCTATATTTTAAGAAATCAGATCGTTATACTTGTAAACATGACGCATGAGGAATAATATAACGATTTATCGCTTGAAAATCAAAAGATCTTACCTTTTAGACAATTTCGCAGTAGCTATGACGCAATAGCGGATAACGCGCCAAAAGGACTGCTATTGCGCATACGGTGCCGCGCAGCCATTGGTCATCCTTGCGCGCGGTTCCTTTGAAACGTATAAAGGATGGTTGCGTCGCGTTTACCGAAATGAAAGTTCTACCGTGTCCCCGTGCGAGTCCTTACGAACCTTGGCAACCTGGTCTGTACAGGTGGGGTACATAACAAGAAGGGGGATGCTGGAACCCACGCGCGACATTCTCCCGACACATTTAAACTGGAACAGTTCCTGGTCGTGTCTAAGAGACGCTGCATAAGTCATTTCGGAAGAGTATACCATCGGAATTTTGTTTTCACGCGAGTGTTCAACGGTGTATAAGGAACGCAACCAGCGGAAAGGAACTAAGAGTCAGTGGTCGGAATTTTACAAGTGCTTTTCGCGATGTCGACGGTGAGTGAGATCACTGTCGATATTTTCCGAAATAGTTTTCTGTGTACGCCTACGAGATCGTTTCCCTTCGCGATTTTGTTTCAAAATATCGAAAGTTCGCCGCTGTGATTAAAAGTACGTATAAAGTGGTCTGTATACGAGTGGTCGACGTTTCCATATAATAAAACGAAGGTTGTGCGTTTCTATTGCTTATTGCTACTACATTTAATTGGACGTGACACTTGACCGGGTTAATTGGCAGGACACTGCTCGTTGATATAGTTGAACGTCGACAGTTTTATCGTAGCTGACACAACATTGATGCACAGTTAAGGTTTTCTGGATTAATGTTAACCACATTCGACCACGTGCCTTAGCGTCATCGCGATTGTTTAACTGCGTGATACTCGGCGTGTCTGTATGCAACAGGTACTTTCTAAAGACGGACATTTTACGCGATATACCATTCATACTGTATACGTCGATTCCATAAAAACATTCGTTTCCATTTCCTCGTTCTTTTTCTCTCACGTTTCCCGTCTAGTCGCAACGGGCCTCTTTGTTCGAAGAAATGTATCGAAGGCACTTATACGTAGCGTTTCGTAACTAGGGATTTCTATAAAAGCGTTACATCCGATGCTAATGCCCGTGCCGACGCTGAAAAATTTTCCATCGTTGCTATTGCATTTCGTTTCACTAGCGTACAATGGGCGCAGAATTAATAGGAGCCACCTCTACCTCGCCAGTAAAGGTGAGCGGAAAGGAAGGCGAAAGGGTGGTTTGACACGCACCGTCGAACACATGAATGTCTTTAACCGCTGCTATCTTGGGTATAATAACGCTCTTGTCAAGCGCAAGTGGGCTCCTTCCATGTGAGGCTAATGAAAATATACGATCCAGTTTCAATCGCGGTATCGTTACATACTAGATCGGTATAGGTCGCGAAATTATACGTTTCTGGGTCGACATTTTATCATTAACTGGACGGTTGTTAATCGTCGGAATTCCGTTAACCGAAGGTAAATATTATGAACCGACGTGACCCGCGATAATTTTCATTTCGGTCTTATTGACGATGCGCTTGCCGAAACAATGGCGCGATACAGTGATTCGCGAGCCGTTAAGCTCGATGAAAACCGTGGATAATGCAAGTTGGCCAATATCGTTGAATAATCCGTTCTCGAAAGAAGCAAATAACCCTGTAAATATCAGCGTGCCTTGATAACAAGGCAAAGACAGAAGGAGAGCGGCGTTTCACCTAAAATATGAACACTATTTGGACGTTTACTTTCTACGAAGGTTCGCATTCGAATGTACAACAGAGTGGCGAAATCGCGGACAGATATCTATGTAATCCTTTGCAAGACGCGCCGCTGCGAGTCATGTATGAGCGAACCAATTCACAGTCATCTATTGCGTACATCTGCAGATACACACAGGCGGACATATTCACGTGACCATAAACACAGACACACGAGTACACAGTATTATACGCGTTCGAGGATGTTGCTCCTATGATCGCTCTCTGATTCCCTTTTAAACTCGTTTCATGTACGAGGCATTCGTGTCGAAGGATAATTGTTTATTTCAGTGGACATTGCTTGGCGCGATATTCGGTCTGGTTACACCCGATGCGCTTGGATAACAGTTTGACTTACACTGCTCGATGATATATATGGGAATAAGGATGATACACGACTCAGCACTGCAAACAAATCACTATCACGGAGACTCTAAGTACTTGTGTTCTTATCTCGTATACATCCGTAATACGATATGCTGGAGCATGTCAGCCACGAACCGTGATTATCGTTTATGAGCACCGGATTATCTAACTATATTAGGCAGCGGTATACCGAGCCTGCAATTAATTTTTGCTCCGTTTCACTCGCAGCAGGATCTACCGATGTCGACATCGTTTCGTAAATGCGGTTCACTGTTTCGTTCGTTTCGGCCATCCGGGGGGGGGCTAGCATAACGTAAAAATATTGCCCTCGGATACCTTGACCCCCTTTTATATTAACGTTGTAGAGAGGACAATTTCCATGGTAAAAGTGAAATGAAGTCCTTCGAAACATGCATCGCGATATTTCGCGGTGAAAGAAATAAGCTATACTTGTGAGCGTATAATTTAATCGCGCATAAATCTGAAATTTGAATTCCTGGAAACTGGCCGTGGTAAACGCATGAACATTCGAGAATTTTAATTACAGATGAAAGTGGTGGTCTTCTTAGTTGCGGTAGCTGCAACTAGAGCTTTGCCCCTCTCAAAAGTGCACGTGAAATTTATATCCCCTCCGCATATTTATGAGCACGGTATTACGACAGACGGTTAGTCCATAAATGTAATTACGTGGTTTATCGTTAAAAATCTTGCATTGCAGCGAAATAACATTAAATCTTATCTATCAGGGGATCGAACGATAGATCAAAGATCGTACGTCTCTATCGGGAGAAGAAGCACCACGGGAAATCCTAGGGAATTCGGTAGGATATTTCACTCTGATAAGCGTAAGAATGTGTGCGCGTACTCCGATAATTTAATGGAACGAAAGTGCCTGTTAATTATTAATATTAATATTATATCATATACTCGGTGGCTTATGCATGTTCGCAGGACAACGCTTACGCAACAAAGGGAACGTTGCGCCAGTTCATATCAAACCGGAAAATGCTGAATCTCTGTGGCCAGTAGGCGTTTTTATTCCCCCGGTGGATATCAATGATCTTGGTTACAGTTCGCAGGAATCGAGGCACCTGACACCTGATTTTTCCAATGGGCTTGGTGAGTAACACATTTGACACGCGAGAATGCGCTGGAAGAATGCAAGGATAGATATACGGATTTAGTTTTAATAGTAAAACGAGAGTCGTTCGTTCTACGTTTAATAACATTTCAGAATATCACGACCCGTATCTATTGACCGGAGAAGAAGCAATGCTGGCTGTAAAATATCTTTATGGTCAAGGCGAACTGTTTTACGACGATATTCCACATGAAAGGGCACTATTGAAAAATCAAGAAGAAAGGAGACGAAACGGCCTTCATGATCACATATTGAGAAGTTTAAGGCCTAACTCTCCATTCTCTACGAATGCTTGACGTCGTTAAATTTATTAACGATAATTTACCCATTGGCTAATGAACGTTGCTAGATAAAAGGAAACGGTAAAATCCACTTTTAATATCGGACTAAACGTATGCTCCATTTGTATTTACTCCCATTCAAAAGATCAATTTTACTTTTTATTCGACAATTTTAAGAACAATAAAAAGAATAATATATAACTTTTCTTTACATAGTCCGTAATTAACAGTCTTGCAGGTTTAATGAACACAAATGGTCGTATACTGCGGCATTAGTACAAGTATTGTACTAATTTCTGTACAGCGTTCCACAAAGATTTATTACGTAAAATGTGTGTACCTCAGATTCTTGTGATTATCATACATAATATACGAAATTCTAAATAAAATTAAGAATTTTACAGATATTTTACAGATATTTTCCTCATTTACGCTTAATAACGAACCGATACTGGTTGTGCACGTCGAAATTAAAGATATCACGTCATGTACAGATAGAAGGAACTTTTTGTACAATAATATACATTCAATTCAGTCCTAATATTTTCAAATAAACCACCGAAATGAGATGCAAAGCGTTGCGAAAATCAAGCCATTAGAGAAGCTTAGTTTCGTCGTTCCATTGCAGAGATCCCCGAAACAAAGGCACATGTACACCTTTTTGTAATTCCACACGGTGTACGCGCATCTTTCCTCACCGTCATCGGGTCCACGTTGGAAACAAAGCCTTTGCGTAGCGGTACCATACTCTATACGAAAAAATATTTTTGTAAAACAATTCTTTTACAAATGTAAACGCATGTTTATCGTATACGTACCGTTGTTTATGCCTTGTCGTTCAATTATCTTGCCGCACCAACCTGACGCACAGGGGACAGCGTCGACACCTTTTTCCATTTCGATCGCCGTCGAGTTCATAGTGAAAGGATCTTTACACGATCCTAATTCTCCCCTTGATCTACAATTCACACATCTTCGAAGAAGTCCTAAAAGGAAGCACTTGTAAATAACACTCTACTCACGGGCGCAGTACGCCAACACTGACATGATCGTTTCTTTCGACAGACTCGCTTTTCAGGACCGTAAACAGGTTCGCAATTAAATAATTGACAAAAAAACACTACACTTGATGGAAACGATGTGCTGTACGGTATACGGTGAAAGTATGACATTGTCCACAATGCGTGCATATATATGTGTAGATTCAATCTGTGTATAAAACTCACCGGTTGCGCTGTGGAGCAGAACCAGGCAAAGGACCGTGGATATTACGAAAGCCTCTGCCCTTAAATTCATCCTATCTCGAATACTATTTGCCAATATCTTTCCTTTTAATTGATTTTCTCACTCGTAAAGTGACACAGAGAAGCAGGAACGACCAAACTCAGCCATTTTGAAACTAAACTATGACTACGAGAAACGGACACGTACTCCATGCAGTTGTCCCTCCCACTGCCTCCTTTCACTTGGCTACCTTTAAGGTCATCGCCTGTTTAAGAAGATCCCGTAGGAGAAATCGTTCGCGGAATGATAACTCGGTCGGTAAACAGCTTGTGCTATTAATAACATTATGATAAGAAACTAAATCAATTTCTTATCAGTCATTTTCTGTACTATGAATTTTAATCGATAAATGGTGTTTCTTCTTCCTGTTCATTTGCATCCTGTTTCTCTTCCGGAACAGCTGTGTCAAATTTGTGTCTCTGCCTGAACGTGTAAACCAGGCCACTGCAGTAGCAAAACGAACAAAGTAGAAATATAAATCCTAGGTATCCCAAATGACGTAAAAATTCTATAAAAGAAAAAAGTATTATCATTAAAATTGCAACGTAATATATAAATTCAGTACAATCGATACGATAATCTAATTTAATACATTCATCAAATTTTACCTCGAGTTAGTAGTCTAGCTTTAGAAACAACAACAACTTTAGCTCGCATCATATTAACGTTATCGACGTAACACGTGTAGTTTCCTTCTTCATGAACGGAAACATCTGATAGTGTGCAAACAAAAAAATCCGTCAGACTATAGTATATGATGCGTAATTTATCCTTTCAAAGTACCTATCAGATAAAGTGTTCCAAAAGCGTCCACTATCACGCGAGCATCTGGATCCAATTTGCGAAAGGATCGTCGAACACCCTTTTCCAATGTGATCGAATCCTTCTTCCATGATACTTGTGTATCCATGGTTCCTCTATGATATTTGAACTTGATATTAGAAAGAGTAACTTGACAACAATCGAATTAAATATCGACTCCAAAATTAATTGTTACTCTGGACACATAATTGTGAGATAAGCTCCTTCTGCGAGCACAAATCGTTTAATGTATCTAAATCCGTGATCTTTTTTCTTCTTCACGCGGGGACATTTTTTGCATGGTTCCTTCAAAATAAATGCCGGCACATGGCGCACAGCGTTGCTAATGCCAGGAAATTCTTCCTCGAGTAAAATCGCTCTAAAATAAACCGTGATAGTATGAATACACTTTTTCCTATATAATTTAACGTAAAAAAGTAACGAGGTCACTCACTTGCAGGGTAATGAGGGAGACCTTCGAAAGAACTTAACTATAGATGAATCGCTCTTGTTAGCAACAGCCTATAATAATGCAATATAGTTGATTATTATCTGTACCGCCATAATTCGTCCTTCTTACCATATTTATTTGGCGTTTTAATCGGCAGTTTCCAACACTCGTCCTATACCCCCGATTATGCACGCAATGTTCACATGGACCCCAAGCTGCCCATTCAGAAATAACCTGAAGCGTTATTCCTACTTCTCGAATATCAGCCAACTCAGACATTTGTGAAACCTAATGCAAACCACGCCCCATATAAACACGAAGGGCGAGTATTCGATAAATATTTCACTTGAATCTGGAATAGTATTAATGATGATGTTACGGCGAATCGTGTGGTAACTGATGCCAAATATATTTCACGATATTTCTCCCAATCAGTTATGTTCCCTTGCTCTGTGTACGAGACTCCGTGTTCTTTGAAAATTGCTGTCGTAAAATAAATTTATTCGACTGATCATATTTAAACATTAATTGCGTTTATATTTAACTATAGAGAAGTAAATTCGATAAAGTATATTACGTTCGATTCTGTAGTTGAATTTATTTTCAATCTCCTGCCCTTCTTCACCGTGGCATAAATAAACACCAGCATCTGTTTCTGCAAAATTTTTGATTACTAAAGAAAGGTCTGGCGTCGTATAAATTCTATTGTACGAAGCGTTATTATCCATTCCTAATTCAATCTCTTTTTCAGGCACCTCTCTGTATCGATCTTGATAGTACCAAATTTTTGACTGTCGTTCTTCCTTGTCGTTGCTATATCATAAGAAAAATGTAAGAATAAAATGTTAGTTTTCCATTTCCATCGATAAAATAATATGTACTTCATACCAAAATCGACATTCCATCACCACAATTGTATCTATCTCGGCACTAATAAGCAAATATTCATCGTTTTCTTGGGATGTTATTAATCTTTCCTTATTTCTGCAGTATTTAGTAGGTGCTACGGATTTATCGATGGAAACAATATTATCCGTATTAACCGATAAAATCATTAGTAAGCAAAAGAGGTTTATACGTATCATGTTAAGTTAGTATCGATATCATAATAAGAGCGCTAAATTCAGAGTATAAATTACACGACTAAATTTAGGAACGACACGTGCGTTACGAATGACATTGTACAAATAAATGTGAATTTATATAATTTTATTTTGTCGACTGATTCTGTATATTATTAAATCTTTTAAATAGCAGTAAGTCTTTTTCTTTTTATCTTATTATAAAATGTTCTGCACTCAGTTTAGTGTACATTTAAAAATTCCACGAGGTCTGTTTCAGTATTCAAAGGTATTTGCTAACCAATCACAACGTTTGGAACGATGGAAAAGAACCACTAACGAAATTCACCGCGAAGCGGGCGAGCTCGACGGAAACACATACCCATGATGCATCATTGATAGCAACATGGCGGAGATGATTGAAAGTGAGTAAAAGTTAACTTATTCTTGATAAAATTAATATAATAAAGGTTAATTAAAAACAAAAAGTAGTTATATAAGAGCAAGAAATGTTTTAAATTTGACATTATCAACATACAAGGTTTGTCTACAACATGTTAACGGACATAGAGTTGGTGTTTTAATTGCGCTCAGAAAGGTCTGGTTTAAAATTTCAAAAATGACCAATACACAATTCAAGCGGGACAATGAAGACCTTTACCGTTTGAGATTTCATTTATTAAGTGATACTTCGGAAACAAATACTTGACAAAATATTTTATAATTTTTGTAATATAACTTATTCAATAACTTTAATTCTAATGCGATGAGTACACATACTGTTTACGGAACTACGTACAAGTTTGGTTATGTCGATAGCTAAGAGCAGAATGATTTTCTTGGTTCTTTTCGAAGTCTCAATTTGAACAATTTTTTAAAGATAGATTTAGAGAAAGAGAAAAAAATTTATATTTTATATGCATAAATGAATAATTATATCAAACGTTACTAGCAATTTTATGCATCACTTTTTTTATAAGTTATGAATCCTCAAAAAACTTACAGTATATGATATTATGGAATAAAATACAGTTTGAAAATAACATAAAACACTTTTTTATTAGAAAATGATTTTTGTCATGATAATTATTTATATACTTCTATATTTAAATAATAATTACAAATAAATTTTTCAGATTTGTTGATATTGTTTTTTAATCATAATTACTTTAGCGTAATCTAAAATAGAAATAGTAGAAAAATTAATAATATCTTTGTTTATTATTATTATTATTGTATGTATTCTCTTCTCTAATGTATAAATAATTTTCTTATCCCAGGTGAATCTGCTGAAACCCTTTTATCTATGAAAAATGGAGGATATCTATCTGTTGATGAAATTAAAACTGAAGTGATCGATGATGATACAATGGATATGGATGATCAACAAATTTCAAATAATTCAACAGATTCACATATGGATACAGAAGAGTCTGACCCAATACCTGAACTTGGCCCTGCAGCTTTAGGTTTACAAAGAGTAGGTACTCAACCTCCTCCAAAACCAAATCCTCCTAGCCAACCAGTTCAAGTTTTAAATCGAAGAGGAATGCCAGCCAGGATTAGAAAGAAAAATAAATTATTTTACGATGACATATTGGTTAATCATCCTCATCATAGGTAAATATTTAACTTTGTGAATATATAAACTAATATGACGATGAATTTTGACTAACATGAATTTTTTAGAATCAAAAAGGATCCGTCACATCCAGATGCAAAACAATCTCCCAAAAAAGTATCTAGACCATCCCCTGCAAAAAAGCAAAATAGAATAATTAATGAGCCAAGAAAAAATAATATGTTAAGTCAACCTATATCGTCTACAATGACCCCGATTAAACAAGAGAAAGAACCTGATAAACCAATGCAACCTTCATCTCCGGATCGTAAAATTGGACAAAAGATTGGTATGAGATTAAGAAATTTATTGAAATTACCAAAAGCACACAAATGGGTTTGTTACGAGTGGTTTTATAGTAACATTGATAAGTATGTATGAAAAAAGGTGAATCCACATACATTTACAATTTAATGTAATATAATCTAAATTTTCTTTTTTTCATGCAGGACACTTTTTGAAGGTGACAATGATTTTATGATTTGTTTGAAAGAATCGTTTCCACAATTAAAAACTCGGAAATTAACACGTGTCGAATGGTGTAAAATAAGAAGAATGATGGGTAAACCTCGGAGGTGTTCACAGTCTTTTTTTGAGGAGGAAAGACGGGAATTAGAAAGAAAAAGACAAAAAATCCGAATGCTACAGCAAAGAAAGGCTGCAGATATTAACAGTTTTAAAGATTTACCACCAGAAATACCATTGCAGTTAGTAATAGGAACCAAAGTTACAGCAAGACTGAGAAAACCTCAAGATGGTTTATTCACTGGAAGTATTGATGCTGTAGATACCAGCAATAATACTTACAGAATTACATTTGAACGTGCTGGACTTGGAACACATAGTGTCCCTGATTATGAAGTACTGGTATGTGTATACTTGATTTGGAACAAGGAGAACTTATAAAAGTACTATATTATTCTATATTTATTTATAATTCACAGTCAAATGAACCACCAGAAACAATAAGTGTTGCCTCATTTGCACAAAAGTTTAGACCACGACATGTACAATATGTACCATCTCCACCATATGCCATGAAATTAATGTCACCTCGCTTAAATAGCGATCCCTTAATATCGAATGCTTCTGTATCTTTACCAAAGAAATCTCATATTGGTGGAACAATGAATGGCTATCCTTTAAAATTATTGGAATTTATGGTGAAAGTAAATAAAATATTAGCTGCTAAAAAAGTTAAAATAAAAAAATTGAAAGAAATGAACAGTGAGGCGGAGAAAAGACGCTCCTTTGGAGAGTTACTTCCACCAGATTTTGAAAGAAGATATGCAGGGTAAGTGATTATTATATGGCTATCATTATATTTCATGTTTTCCTTTTAATATTTATATTTATGTATTTCAGTATCGTAGTCGAATTGGAAAAAATGAATACAGCTTTACAAGATTATCTTAACGACGTTCAAGAACTTTGTCAAGAAATGGCTCCTGAACCTAGTGTGGCAGCTATGTTAGCTCCTTCTCATCTGCGCGAAAAATGTAGGCAGGAAGCTGCAGATATGGTTGCAAGAAATAATATGATCAATGATAAGGAACCAGGAAAAATGACTCAATTAGTAACAGATTTAACAGCACTTATGCTTCAAGTAAAAGTAATTTGAAAAGTTATCATTAATATGATTATCTTTTTCTTAAACTCTCGATGTTATATAACTATTTTTATGTTTTAGAGTTTATCGGACTCAGATCGTAATGCATATGAATTGAAAGTGTTACAAGGTACAATGGAACAAATACGTGCAAAGTTAAGTCCGCAAAATCAACAAGTTTTTCAAAATTGTGTTGAAATTCATATGCAACATATACAATTAGGCCTTGGGCAAAGAGGTGCTTTAAAAACATTTATGGCCCAAAGAGCTTAGCAAATATGAAAGTAATTTTCACTGATACTTTAAAACAAGGTGTACAATATTAAAATAGATATAAATCATAACACTAAAATATTTTATAAGAAAATCCAACTTTATTTTATTATCTTTTTGTATAGGGCATATCATCATTAAAGAGTACCTATCTTATTAGAAAGCAAATGTGTTCTGTACATACAATAATTCTAAAATTGTTTTTTAAGTAACATTCTATAAATGAGTTTTAGGATAATGTGCTGTGCTGTTAATTGCATTAAACATTTAAAAATGTTCATGTTTAAAAGATTTACATGTCAACTTACGATTTATACACAATAAGGAATTAAATATTTATGAATTATTGAATCGACGTTAAATTAATATGGCTATTGTAAATAAAGAGTGCATTTTGCAGTGGCAGCTTTCATCAACTTTATACAGAAATTTATGATATATATTATTACAGTAAGAATGAAACAAATTTTTTATTTTGTAAAAAAGAGTTTAATATTTTTTGCTTATAAATAATTGCAAAAATTAATATATTATTAATACATTATTATTTTGAAAAATCACTTTCGATAACTGTACATTAGGTATATGCATAAACATTGCATAACCAATTGTAAATACACTATAAATGATAAAAAATATAAAATTTTTACATTTATTTTATTCACACTAACTAACAATTTTTTATTTACACCGAATATTTTAGTTTGAAAAATTGTAGAACGTTTAATACAATATGCGATAATTTATTTAAAATATGTGAGTCTATTTAATGGTCCTATTTCTAAAATAGTTACCAACACATTAAATTAAGAACACTGCTTACAAAAACTTATCTAATTCCAAATATTATGTTATCATCATAAATACATTTATATGAATGTTGTTCTTATTTTTCATGCATATTATATTTTTAATAAAGTAAATGTAAATTTAATTCAATAACATACGTTACATTGATGCAAATAATTAAAATATAGACATTCCTTAAGATAATCTATTATTTTTATGATATTTTATAAAACAGGCAATATTAAATATATACTATTATACCAAAATATTGCAATATTTTTATATTTCTTTCATAAACTTAAATAAAAAAAAAAAAGTTTATTTCGATGCTGTATAAAAAAAGGAAGAAAACAAACAACAAAAGGAATTCAATTTGCAATGCAATAAGTTATAAAAATAAAAACTACAAGATTTTTTATATTAAAGAATAAATAGAAGTGTATACGTTACGACGAACTTACTATTTCTTTTAATTTCTATTTACACTGTTTTTTATCTATGAATATTTTTATTGAAAAACGTGTAATATCCGGTAAACATGTACATAACATTTCGGACATGAAAATAAGAATATAAATATAATTTTATCTAATTAAAAATTATCGTTATAGTATTTATATTTATAATATACAGTTATGTAAAGAATGAATTTGAATATATACATTTAATTAGATACTCGTATCCATCATTTTACAAATACTTGCATGTACCAAATAACATATATATACTTTAAATATTTTAAACCTGATTCGTATTTATTTGTTTCAATTACACGTCTTTATATTAATATTACTTATATTACTGATACGATAACGTACTTATCGTACAATAAAAAATAAAAAATATGTACGATGAGTCTGTTTCTATTTTACATATTTTATACCAAATTCGATCAAAATATTACAATGAATACGAAAGATAACAATAGTTAGTTTTTGTTTTTAAAAACTCATTAGTTACTATTCAACGATTTTATTATCTTTTTTCAATGGCATTTTTTATTGTTTATAGGTACCATTTCTTTCTTATTTTTTATGTTTATTGAGTGCTTCCAACAATGTATCCGCATCTTCGTCTGTTTTGACTCTCAATAAAACTGGTACTGGAGATGGTGATTCAGGTAATGGTAAACAAACCAACATTATCGTGTTTTTGTTCATACGTTTTGTTGGAATACTTTCAGTTAATAAAGTATTAATTAATAAATTTCCCAAAGAAGTTTCTGCACGTACTAGTAATTGTATTTTTTCATTTGGAGTTGGTTTTAGAAATAATGTTCCAATACCTCGATCAGTAAAATTACCATCCTTTTTAATAAACACTTTGCATCTGTAAAAAATATGGAAATACATTGCATTAAATTTAAACTTTAACTTTAAATCAATGCATTTTTTGTGCATTTATTACATAAAATGTTAAATACCTTTGTTCGAATATGGCACCTTCTTCTGTTACTGGTTTGAAGTTTGCTTTTGGTGGCTCTTCATCTTCATCATCTTTTCCTTCGTTATCTTCAGGTTCCTGTGGCTTTACCATTTCAACTCCAAATGTAAATGGTTTGGTACTGTAGAATTATGCAATCATTACGATATTTCGATTATTTTTAAGAATCTAAATAAATTACCTTCCAAAACTAAAACCAGTTGATGTGTTACTAGTAGTGGAACTTTGACCAAAACAGAAAGTGGTTGTGCTTGTTGTTGCAAAGGAACTAGTGGTACTAGTGGTAGTACTAGCGGTAGTTGTAGCAGCTGTAGTAGTAGTAGTAGTAGTAGTAGTAGTAGATTTTGTATCTGATTTTGTTTCTTGCTCGTCTAATTTATCTGATACAGTACATGGTTTATTTAAGAATGGATTCTTTTCAGAACTTGAACTGCCAAATATACTTTTACTACCAGCTTTCTGTTCAATATTACCAAAAATAGATTTATGTGAATCTGAGGTTTGATCTGTACTACTAAAAATGGATTTACCCGTTTCTAGAGTGTGTTCTGGTTTAGTAAATATGGATTTAGAACTTGCAGTAATATTGCCAAAAGTTGATTTTTCAGGTTTCCATTCTGTTGAACTAAAAGGAGATTTTGAGTTTGTTCCCCCAAATGGAGAACTTTCAAATTTTTTTTCTGTATTTGAAGTTTCCTTGTTATCACCAATATGTACAGATTGTGATTGTGTTGGTTTCTCAATTTTACTTCCATGTTTAGCTTCAATTTCCTTAAGATATCTTTCATAATCTTTAAAAATTGGTGTTAAAATACAAAATGGATTTGTATCAACATGAGTTTTAATCCACTGTGCCACACTTTCATTTAATCCTTTTAACTTAGCAAAATATTCAGGAGATTTCTTAAATATATTTTGGTCTTCTTGATCGGAAGTACTGTTTTTATTACTAGATGTAGCCAATGATGTTTGTACTTCTGAACTTTCTTTTTTGTTTGTGCCATTTTCATTAGTTTTAGAAGTTTCAATATTTATAGGAGACTTATTGATATTTGTAATTGTTTTAGCAGATGTATCATTTGTATTAACATTAGTATTGCTATTAGCTAAGAAGCTAAAAGGTGAATTATGCGTTGAAGTTGTTTTGAAACCTGTAAATGTACCAAATGCATTTCTGCCAGTGTCCTGAAAAATATTGAAAAAGAAGAAGATATATGTTTATTATAAAATAAAAGATACAGAAATGTAAAAGTTTACTTCAGAATTTTGTAAACGTCTTTTAGCTTTTTTAAGAACACGTTTCTTCATCTGATCCTCTGTAGCTCTTTTAAATGTTCCTGCTTCTTCAGGTCGTTCTTCATCATCCCAGTTATCATGATTTAAATCTGTTGATGCAGCCCTTTTACCAGCCATTTCTACAAACATTTTATAATCGAGCTCAATACTATTCCGCTATTATTTTCCTGTTTCTATATAAACTAAGGTAACTGAAATATTTATAAACTCTTTTGACTAATGATACACAAATTAATGTATATATTTGTTAAATACAATAATTATTTATTTTATAAATTGATAAGAAATATTTGATATACATAATAACCAATTTCATATGAGGCAAAAGCGTAAAAAATAAAGGAATATATTATTAACATATATTATATTAAATAATCACAACACAATTTTACTTTTAAACAAAATAAAATGTTTATTTTTAAATGTATAAAAAAAACTTGCAGTATAACCTCACTATCTATTAAAGACGATGCTATCGATTTTTTTATGTTACTAAAAAATAAGTAAAATTATATCATAAAATTTAGAAAAGTAAATATGATTATAGAAAAAACTCAATTAAAATGAATGTAATATATCTAAGTTGAAGTACGTACTTAATATACATAAGAACTTGTACAAAGTTGAACGCTAAACACAGTTTTCAGGTTTGCGCATGCGCTTTTTTTTTAATCACGACGTACTATATACCCGAGGAACAAACTAAATCTTAAAAGGTTAAACGAGAAAATTATAATATTTTAAGTCCTATTTTACGTACTGTGTATGTGATATAAATTTATTTCAAACTCTAAGTACAACTGTAAGGTAACAAAATCGTCTTTTAAGTAGTTCTGAACAAAATAATCATTATAAACTTGCAGACAATGTCTATAGTTCAAACATAACAATTTTTATAAATATTTGGCCTAAACTTATTATTTTTCCGTATTTATCAAAATAGGTATGAAAATGCAGTTAAGAGATAGATCTTACAAAAAAAATTAATAATTTGCACACTTTTATAATTCACATGTTATATTTATTAAATAAATATATAGTTTCAAATTGCAGTTATAAATTAATGGGAAAAATCTAAGAGTATAACATATTTTGAAAGTTATCGCAATGTCATATTTGTTAATATCTTTAATCATTATTTTGTTCGTCAATATTCTATATGGTATAAAATCTCTTAAAGACAATCCTGGATTCGAAATAAATTAGTAAAATGATAGTATTTAAGAACAAACATTTATGCATATTTTTTTATAACTCAATTAAATTTTTATAAACCAAAGAGTAAAGATATAATATTCTATATTTATTAATCTAGCCTATAAAATAGGTATGTGATGAGTGATCACGTGATATACAGTCACGTGCAAATGATCGATTTAAACTTCATATTTTTCTATGTATGAATACACACACACACACATATATATAAATATATTTTTTTTTATTCAGCCTATATAATGAACATTTTATATATTAAATGTATTTTCATATCATATAAATTAATAATTTAGTAAATTGAAATATGTTATGGTTTATAAAAAAAACCATATAATATACTTTTTTCCATATATAATAGTCTTGTCATTATAATATGAAATATCGAGTACCTATTTGTTTAATTTTATTATCATATTCTGAATATTAAAAACATGTAATTTTTATAACTTTAAATATATAAAATACATTACAAATGGTACGTTATCATATTTAAATACAAAAATAAGTATGGAAAAGCGTAATAGATTAACGTATAATCCGTGTAAAGATTTCATTATTTCAAGTGAATATGTATAGGAACTAACAAAAGTGAATTTCTCAAGATAAATGCTAATTAAATTTAATGTGCCTAATGAGAGTAGACATCTTAAGATGTGTCTCGAGATGCGTGAAAATTCTGAAACACATCATCGAGTTTCACAAAACGAGCTTGTTTCCTATCATGAACGACGTTTGGTTTCGTAATCGCAAATATGTGGCGCCACTATCGCCGGCATTACCAACGTTCACTATCGTAAAAGATCTACTTCAAGGAAATGTTTTCTTTGAACATCCTGTATTTGTGTAAATTTGTAAGCGTAGTTCATAGTGGTTGCATAACATATGCAAACAAAGCACATAGCAAAATTGTAATATAAACTGATAAGCTCTTTCACGTGGCACATGTACCGGTTATAAGCTTGGCGCGAAAACTTTCTTTCAAGGAGCGCGTCGGATCCCTGGGCATACAACGCAGCGAGAGAAACGAAGAAAGGGAGAGAGAGAAAGAGAGAAAGATCGTGGGTAAGGGCCAGGGGTGTCAGGGGATCTCGAGCAACTTGGCACGTCCGTGTACGGAGGCAACAGTGCTGGTGGCAGCACAGACGCTCGTTGATGAGCGAACAATTCACTTTGGTGCGCGGTTTCGCGACGTTGTTTCGTCTCATCGGTGCCGTGAAATAAGGGTGTGCATATGTACGTACGCAACGAAGCGATAAAATGTGTCTGTGACATTTTTACCTGTTCGCTTTTCTTAAGTTAAAACGGTCAAGTGTCGTTGCGGTGGCTCGAAGAGTTCGTGGCTGGTGCGCGCCGTGCGTGCGGTTGATCGGAGCGTATACCGCTGTTCTCGTCAATTTGGTGGGAGAGTGAGAGTGAGAGGGAGGAGGGGTTTCCCGTCCTCCTCTTCTCTCGCTAAAATCGGCCGGATTTTTGAACAGGGAGGAAAAACGAATAATCTTGATACAAAAATATGGAGATATCGAAGAGTTTGCAGGAAGAAATACTCACTGTGCAAACTAAACTGAAAAATGCCATACGCGATCATCAGGTGAGTCCCGCGGCTATGCATGTATGTCGATAACGATTTAAAGATTGAGAGTACGAAGCCGAACGAACGAGTGAGTGAGTAAGTTAACGAATGATTTTTGCTTGACCAACTACTTACTTCTCGTAACACATTATTTCGTATCGATAGAAAAATCGAGATAGCATGTTCGATAAATAATCGACTTGGGAAGTGAAATAGTTTTCGAACAGTTTTAACGGATTTTTCGGGTACAGTTTATTATTTCCTAAGAATTATTTCAAAGTATACGCAAACTAAACACGTATTCAAATTTTTTTGACAAATTCTTTCTGTGACTCAATTTCCTTGGTATTCCCACGCACAATGCGTGTACGGACGCATGTACGCATCAAGCACGCGCGCGCGTGCATAAATGCACACCTCCTATACTATATTTACGGAACTTGTTATTTCGATGTAAATTCTCTGAAATTTTATGAAACGATCATCTCGATCAAAGATGTCCGGTTTATGTGAGATACGAACAGAAACTGATTCACTAATATGGCATACACCTCCTTTCGATCTATTTTATAAAAGTATCCCTTTCACTCGTATCGGACGTTTGTAAACTGTGTTCCCTCTTCGGTTACGTTGCGCGTTATCGAAAGTGAAAGAAGCGTAACAAGTTCCAAAGGAACTTTTGCTTGCTTTTAATCATGTTACAAGTTTGCACCGTGCAATGGTCATTTTTTTTACGAATCACATAAACTCGAAGGTGAACGAGTGTTCAGACCTTAACCTTTGTTGGTAGAGTGCTTCGACCGATGCGTCGCATGACTTTGAGAACCAACATTCTCTCTCTTTCTCTCTCTCTCTCTCTCTCTCTCTCTCTCTCTCTCTCTCTCTCTCTCTCTCTCTCTCTCTCTCTCTCTCTCTCTCTCTCTCTCTCTCTCGCACGCTTGCTCGCTCGCTCGCTCTACCCCCTCCCCTCGCCTTCTCTGTTTCTGTCTTTATCTCTCTCACTCGTTCATTCAGTTACTCACTTGTTCGGTTGATCTCCCTCTCTTTTTCTCTCGTTTACCCTAACTTCTATAGTCCTATACTTCTATATTCTTCCTTTCTTTCTTTCTTCCACCATTTCTTGCTTACTTTTGTCTTTGCCTAATTCGATATTTTATTCAACGCCGTAAACTTTAACGCGGTTATGTCGCGTACTCTGCACCTTTGTCGGTAAACGAAACTATTTTCGCCATATTTAATTATTTCTATTCTTTTTTACTCCGATACGTTTTCTTTTCTCCTTTGACATGTTTCTTTGAAATTCCTTTGCGCTTGTTCGATGACCTATAAAGCAGACTAGGAAGTAGATTCGCAAAGAAAATTCGGAAACATATTTGAGCAGACGCAGCGCTAATTCTTGTCAATATTCTTATTTAAAATGCTACTGTTCAACGGCTTTTTCGTTATCGTTGGAGTACGTTGTACATTGTAAACGACTAAAGAGTCAAGGCATTCTATCGACAAGTTCCGGATGTGTACGTTGAAGCAATATAAACCAATATTATCGAATCGTGCATAACGCGTATACTCGTTTTGTCTATTTACAGCAAACTTTTATTAACAAATAGTAACGCCAGAGGGATATGTGCGCAATGGGGGAAAGTTTGTCGGCGCACGATCGGCATTCTGCCCTGCTCTACCGACCTTGTCCCGTCTAACTCTTCGAAATCGAATATTTTCGTCCGGCCAAAAGTTGAAGATATATTTAATCGATACATCTCCGAACTTCGTTTCCTATCGATCTCCATTATTTTTATATCTTTTCGCGTTTCGCCTTCCATGTAATAGCTTCGCGCTTAATTAGTTCATAAAATATTTCTTTGTTGCCATTTTTTTTTTCGTTCGAACGCAGTCGTAAAAAAGCGATTTAAACAGCTGGTTAACGGTTAATCGTCGGATGGTTTATTATCAATCGCGAATTTATCAATTAGATCGAATTGGATTAATATTCGCGTTCGGCGTATTTGCGAACCGGATAGGACAAACCTGTTCTTGCTTGATAGGCATTTCAGTTACACGTCGATTGTCGGGAAACAGGTGCGCAGTGATATCGGTTCGTAAATTTTATAACATCTTAAAAGCATAGTTGGTGCATACGCGATATGGGGAAAAAGACTGATATACGACATTGTATACTTGGTATGCGCTTATTTTAGTATTACGTCGATATTTAAATAAATCTATATATAATACGCTTCATTTTTATTTTGAACGCGATTACTTTGGTGGTCGATACGATTCTCGTTGATCTTTTTCCCGTTTGTTTACCGCCAAGTATCGGCTAAAAGTTATCATTATGAAACTAAGTCCATTTAAAATAATTTTTCAACTCGAAAGAAACGGTTAGGAGGGAGGAAGCAGGCTTTTAGTCGCGTAAAAACGTCAATTCGACCGTTCGTAGGCATTTTCCAATACGATCGACACACAGTGTTACGATAATTGCGTCATTGCGCCGCAGAGGAGACGCCACGGTCGCGTGTATAAAAGCGTAGCGACTGTGGATGCTCTGAATCGAATATTCGAACTGTCTTCGAGAGTGTGGCTAATTCGAAAATTTTCTTTTCTCATTACAGATCTGCGTGGGCAAACTGAAGGATGACCCGAACGTAAGTCGCTTACTTTTCCTAATCCTACCGATCAATTCGAACTTCGTAAACACGTGATCGTGTATGTACGAGTATCTCGGAGGGATCGTAATAACGGTGGTACTCGTACCAGGCTTGCCGGAAAACCAAGTCTCCGCTACCAGTTATTTTTGGCGTTACAATTGATTTACTGTATTTAGTGGATGTTAAATCGTCCGTGTCTTGCAAACGCGTTACCGTTCGATATATCGATATTCTTCGGGAGAATATTTTTTTCATTTCACCTCGTACGGTATTGACTATCGTGTATTAACCATCTACGAAATTATCTACCATCTCGTTGCCTACGGAGTTATTAGCACGTTTCGAACATATAACGCATTTCCTATTTTGTACAGCTTCGCGCTATTTCCATTTCCAAAGAGGAATGATTAAGTAATAAACATTGTCGCACCGATTACATATGCGAGTTTCCATAATTAATCGTTATGTTATATACGTAATAGATCGGTCGGCGCGTGCATTCCGGTAAAACGCGATTATAAGAAATTATGCTTGAAACCAATTCGTGCTTTCCGTTCGTCCTGTTATTATTCCGCATTAAGAGAAAGTCTCATGCGTGTTTATACTTAGCGCTCTATAAATATGGAATATGTATCGTACGTCTAATCAAGATCGTGTCCTCTCTCGTTTTGCAGAATACAGACATCCTTGGTCAGATACAAAAGATTCACTTGCACATCGTGTCTTTGGGAAGGTGCCAGGTAAGTTGAGAATCGATTTCCTCGGGCCTCACTCTTTCGCTATGATCCAGGGCAGGCTTGTCCGTCCACGTTCCATATTTATGCCTGTCTGTTACGTGCAAATAGAAACGATATCGCGTGAAATTATCCCGTCGATAATGGATCGCGTAGGGAACGCGTTTGAAAATCCGGCCGTCCAGCGTGTCCTTGATTTCAGACAAACGAAACACCCGCTAACTCGATCGATAGACCCATCGCGCGAGAGGAATGTTTTTAAGATGGTATACTAATTAGGACGGTCACGGTATTATTTATCTCGGCGATTTCATCGTTCGATGAGGCGAGTCGAATATTCGCCGAAAAAGCGTAATAATTTTTCCTTCTTCCTGTTTCACGATATATCATAACCTATTACGATTTATGCATTTTCAATTTCACGAAAGGGCTTAACGCGGCTACCTTCACGGTGCATACGTATCCCCTTTCGACGTCGGTGTTACCGTGGAAACGAGTTAATTTTCGGATTCGAAAAGCGTGTAATCGGTCACGTTAACGAGACGAGTCAGTTTCGGAACGCATTCGCCACGAATTTCCCATACGTTATCGAATCAAGCGTCTATGTATCGACCTCATGCGCCATGCTTGCAGTTTCTTCGTAGGACGCTCGCTAGAATGAGTAATGCACAGTTATAATTAAATAGCGAACTCGTTGAGCGAGTTTACCGACCACCTTTCCAAACTTTGTCGATCGCGTGGAAGATAGATACGAATAGACAGGCTCTTTCATCCCTTTTCTTCCCGTTCTTTTTTCGTAAACTTACTCGACCGCATTATCGTGGCTGTTATATTATCATAAGTCCGCGTGTATCGCGTCCAATAACAATATCGTATTTCCCAATCGAGAGACGCGTAAATCGAGCACCGGGGAAACTTTCGACCAGCGGTTTCGTAGACCGGAAACAGCCGAACCCGTGGTAGGTTGCGCTTATCGAAGTTTGGAAAAAAGTTGCGGCGTAGGGAAAAGAGGGGGAAAAAGAAACGGGAAGTTGGTGTACGCAGCGCGGGCGCGGGGAATGGAATTTTCGTGGGTCGCATTTGGAAAGGCGTTCTCGAAAGGTATCCCGGTGGCGTTAAATCGTTTCTTTTTCGGATTCGCGAATCGACGGGAAGAATCGATAACGGGGCTAGTGTTGCCCGAAGAGGCTCCGGTGGATGCGCTTTGCTATCGCCCAGCATCCTTTCCTAAACATTTTCGCGGTAATCCCGTCGCCGCGGATGCGCTCTTTCTCTCCCCTTTATACCCTCGTGTCTCTCCCGTCTCTCCTGTCTCCTGCCACCCCGCCGCTCCACTGGCTGCCATTTTTCTTCTTTTTCCGCGTTGGCAATAAACGACCGATCCAGGTAGATTGCTGTCGGAGTAAAGGAGATACGTAAACGGATAGAAATGGACAAAGATGGTGGAACCGGGAACGAAAGAGACGGACGTATACACTGATACACGGGGTGGGAGTGGGTGGAGGGTGTCCGGGGAGTATGAGATGGAGAGAGATGAGGGACAGAGAGCGTGGGAGAAAGAGAGAGAAAGAGAGAGAGAGAGAGAGAGAGAGAGAGAGAGAGCGAATGGGACTTGGGTGAAAAGGAAGCAGAGTAGGGGCCGGGCAGAGGCGGAGGGGCTCAATCAATAAAATGTCCCGCAGAAACGTTTTCAGCTCTTTACGAAATCTCCGCGTTTTTTTCCCTTTCTTCCGTTCTCTTCTTCCGCTCCCTTTCGCTCTCCACCTTGGCACGTCCTCTCCTCCTGTTTTTCTCGAGCTTTCCACGCTCGTTTCACCGGGATCGCTCTTCCACCGTTGTTCATTGTATTTCGAGTTAAACGTTTTACTTCTGAAAACTTCTCCGAGTTCCTCGCCACCTCGCCGAGACGGTGCTCTGTCTTCCATGCGGGGGGAAGCCGTCCGACGAATCTTAAAAGATTATTAACGTCCTGCCTACGAAATACATCCATTCCTTTACGATTACGAGGGCTCGTTTCTCTTATCTATGCTTTTGCCTTTTTATTTATTTATTTATTTATTTTTCTTTTTTTCGGATATTAATTAAGAATTATCGCCGTTCGAGAGAATCGAAAGTCGATACCGGGAGGCTACTCTTGTATCTATGTGTCTCGGATGGAATACGGTCGCTTTTCGATTATTCGTTACGTAACCGTGCACAATTGTGTTCCATCGTCGAATAGTCGTAGAAGTAAAGAGGGTCGCGGAAAAATCTTCTTGGCAGAATGTACGTCTCGATGATTTAGCGCAATAACCGACGATTCGCACTCGTTCCTCGTAATTTATTAACAATTACCGCTGCTAGCATTCGCGTTGCGTCGCTTTTGATATTCGGGCGAATGTCTTCGCGGCTCGTGGAAAAGCTCGTTCGTTAAGAGTACGTTTGTACGGTTTGCAGCTTAACGACACGCATTCGTATTTAAACTATCTGCGACACACAGTCTGCCAAGAAAGTTTTCTACGATCATCATTGACCGAAGCTCTCACGCTCATAGTTTGCCATCTTAATACGCAGAAGCAAGTTGTCCAGCGGCTGCGCAAAGAGGTCGAAACATTCAAAGCGGAGAATGCGAACGGGGCGAAAGTTTCCATCGCGTCGCTTCTCGGCTTGAACAACAATAATCATATTACGAATAACAATGAGACAAAACTTAAGACCGGCAATGACTTCACCACGAAGAGTTCGAAAGAGGACTACGAGGAGATCGTTAGAAACGGGGATGTTCTCTTGCCTAGGAGGAATCCCGCGCCTACCAAGTGAGTTTTAGTATACCGAGTTGCGAATAGTTTGCACGAGTTGATAATGCCAGGCTGTTTTGCAAAATCTTTTATCGGATTCGTTGTTCTCAGGGAACGGCCCAGTTCGGTGGAAACGATTTCCGGCGAGGATGACGTTATTGAGGTTTCTATGGACGAGAATTCCAATGAGAAATCCGAGAAGGATGACCCGGATGATTGTAAAATCGAATCGACCGAAAAAATTAATTTCCTAAATGCTCTTGGTCTCATTACGACCACAACGTGCGCTGAATTGCAAAATAAAAGGGCCGAAAGGAAACGTCGCAGCACCGCTAATCCGCAATTTGTTTATTCCAGTCTCGAAGTGCCAACGGTAAGTATGGAGAAATTTGCAATTTTTCTATCAGACGGTGTGTCGCAACTGACGATCATTTATTTTAGAAACGAAAGAGACACTCGTACCTGCAATCTGGAAATGTTCCGCAAACTCGTCAAACGACCGCTCGCATGAATGGTCCATCGCCACCTCCTGTAAAAGTTGTGCCACCAAAGTCTACGTCGCCACCAACGCCAAGGACAGTGATGAAATCTTTGATTCCGGTTCAAAAGTCCACCACGCGTCCAAATATTCTTAGGAGTGTAACGGAAAGTAAAGTTTTTCCCAATAAGAATAAGGTTGAGAATGGACCCAGTCAGATTCAGTTGCCAGTACCTACTGTAAAGTCCGTTCATTCGGTTGGCAACAAGGCGGTTCATATACCAGGGTTACCTTCCAGTCTCACTATCGAGAGGATCAGCAGTGATTCAGCAGTCTGTATAAGTTGTAGGAATCCAGGTATGCGATCGACGTTTACCTCCTATCGTTTATGTATACCTTTAAGTCATTAATACTCATAATTGTCTGTTCCATTAGGTACATTAACGGTATGCGAAAACTGTGCATCAAATTACCACGTGTCCTGCCATTCTGTTTCACCGGCACCACCGAGAATATGTCCCAAGTGTGCTCTAATAGAAGAGGAAGAAATTGAAGACGGTGATGACGGGGAGGAGGAAGACGGAGGACGCCCAACGTTTAAAAAGGACGAGGAATTCGGTAAATCGTCCTTGGCTTTTCAGAAGATTTCTATCTGTAGTAATGTTGATCGTGTGATTGACAAAAAAGTTCTTGTTTCCTGCAGACACTAGCTTTTATGAATGTTCGTGGCACGCTTATCTCATTTCGCGGCGGCACCGTCCGGAATCATTCGATGTATAGTGATGTATTCTTGTTAACAAAAGTTAAACGAAAAAGAAAAAGATGAAAATAAAGCGGCACTTTTGGTTATACTCGATAATCAGAAGTTAGCGTACATTTTTATGTACGCGATATAAAAGTTTGTTTGTAATAATGCAAACAAGTTGTATGAAAGAAGGGCAGGAAATTGTGTAACATGGGTCCACAATTTCTAGATTTAACGTGCAACGAGGTATCGCAGCGTTGCCGCAGACTTTATTGAGCGTAAGCACACAGAGAGAATAAACGAGAGAGCAGCCTGCCGGAAGAAGTGTCGCGAGTGAGACCGGCTTCTCAAATACAGCAGAAGAATTTGCAATTAAGAAGAACTTTTTGGTCGATCGTCAGTAATAGGGCTCAAAAAAGCAACGTGTATTGAACGCGAAATATCTTGCAGAGGAGAAAGAGAGAGAAAGATATGAGCTGCGCAAGCGAAACTCGGATCTGAGATTGCAGGTTTACGAGTTGGAAAAACGCTCACAACTACTCGGCCAGTCCCTTCAGGTTCGTCCTGTGGCCTGCGTAGAAAGAAATTCACAAATTTTTTTTCATTTGGAATGCTGTTCAGTTAATGAAATTATACGCAAACATATTCCATCTTTTGTTTTTTCATCAGTAAGAACCTGCAAGATCTCTACGTTTTCTTCTTCATTTTGTATATTATTTTTTCAAGATGTGTCGATTTTTTGTAGCAGAATTATTTCTTCCTTTGGTTCGTACAAAAATCGACTTGTCTCTGACGTTATCATTTTTTTAGCGTTATTACTGTAGAGTTTACATATATGTATACAGGTATAAATTAGATAATTGTTTCTCCTATATGAATTATTCCTTCGTCGGATCGATTATTCATCTACAGTAATAATTTTATTCGTTAATCCGTAAAAATACGGAATGCACGATGCTTCCTTCACGTACAATTGAAACTTCAGTGTCTTATATTGAAAAAAAGAAAGAATTATCTATAGTTTTAATGTTTCGTCTTTACTTTTTAAGTCTAAATTCAGTATTGCTTATGTATTTCGTCTTAGTGAATCTAGTTTTAATTGTCGAAGATGATAGATTCGTGTATGAGAAGAGTTAAAGACTCGCGTATGTGTGTAAATATCGCATAGGTCGGGAGATACAGTTACAAATTGATTCGTTAAATTTTGTTCCAAGAGCATGTGCATCTTTATCCTAATATTATCAGATAGTAATCGATGTGAATTCAATATTTTTTTTTTTTCAGATCTTTTTATGACAACAATGTATGTTTATTAATTATTTAATTTTTCTTTCAACAGCTACAGCAACGCACGCGCCAGGAATTATTAGGAAAGCAAGAGAAGACGCAGAGATCTATAAAGCGGCTTGTGGACTTCATAAAACTGATGCAACTCAGAAAAAGCGGGGATTCACCGCTTCCATCGGCATCAGTCAACTTCCTTCCTCAACTTTCCTCATCCCAATCTCCTCCAATAGCGTCAACCAGTCGGACATTGGGTCTTCTGCAACAATCAACAGTGACCATCGAGAAAGTTCCATGTCCTACTCCTCCATCGTCCTCAACCAGCTGCCTCGATCGAGTATCGCCTATATCGACAGAGCAGAGCCTCAAGTGTCCTACGCCTATCAGCTACCAGTCACCAGTGTTCAGTCAGAAAAGCATCAATCATACCTTATCGTTAAAAAAATCACAGAACCAATTAGAAGAACGAGTCAGTCTTCCGACGACCAAAATCACGCCACAGTGCTCAACTATAAACTGCCAACCACATCAGGCTACAACTCTCGCATTCAGACAGAAATCGCCGTCTCCGACTCCGCTATGCTCATTGGTAAACAGTTGTCTGACGCCGTCAGTCGTAACCGTAAGAAGCAAACAAACCGCGCAGTACCCGCCCTCAATCGGATCATCGACGCAGAGAATCTCTCCATCACGGCCAAATATCAGTTGGAACGAACAAGTCTCAACGGAAGGAAGTCCAGAAGCAGGCAGCCAAGGAATAAATTCGGTATCAATCAACTGCGATCTGCCAGAGCCACAGAAATCCTATTGCCTTCCTACGATAGTACAGAATCCGATAAACAGCTACAAATTACAAAATCAACCGAGCCAGAGGAAACAACCTTGTTCAGTAGTCGTCCAAAGTACAGGCCAAGAACCGGTGGTCTTCTCCACTCATTGTTCTCAGGCCATAACAAGTCCTATATCCTCACCGATAATTCTCGAGAATCAAGAGACGTCGGCGCAGCTAACAAAGATATCTCAGTCGGTCGGCAACAGTTGTATCATCAAAGCTACCAGCTGGAATCAGGCGAACGAAACGAGCCTACGGTCCAATTACAACGTGGTGCCCTCACAAAATTCTTCGAGCACGTGAAATTGGAAGAAGCGCATATACCAGCGCCATCTAGAGCAAAGCTAGTATACAAAAGCGGTACTACTTCCGAAAGGAATGAACTCGAAGTTACCGAAATTGCGGATGAAGACACAAATAGTAGCGAATATGCCACCAAGACACCTCTGTCATCCAGCAACTTCGAAGATGATTTCGTTGGTCGGGAGATCAAACAGAACAATTGGCTCTCGAGCAAGATTATAGTGAAGAAAGGACAAAAGAATGACACGATTAAGAGCGCTGAATCGCATGATTCTGCTCCTTCAAAGTCAATCAGATCGAGCGACTTTGTCACATATGAACGTAAACACGGTAATACGTATGTGAGAGTTGAATGTGGACCTGACGACGAGGAGGATAATGCATTGACTGGTACGTTTCCAACCGATGTAAATTATACGAGACGCATTGGACCCCTGACGGAAATTGTATCTGAGAATCGGAAGGATCGGCAAGACTCAGCATCTCTGTGTAACGCACAAAATAATTTCTTGGAGCTTCGTAACGAGGTCTCAGTTCCTGATGATAAGGCTGATTCCGAGAGACAAGACTTATCTAGTGGCAGACGTTCGACCAGCAGCAGCAGCGGTAGCAGTACCAGCAGTAGTAGTACGAGCGACAGCGATACTCCGGAACAAGCGATGAACGATTCTATTAAGTACTCTCGACGACGATTATCCGGAAACGAATACAAGGAACGTCTGGGCATTACTGCTGTATCCCCGGAGAGTATGCAAGTGCTCGAGCAATTTGAATCAGCTATGCTGGAAACAGGATGTAGCAATGCTGCCACTTGCTAGAGTTAGATTACAATGCGGTGTTGACGCGCTGATTATGCTCATTGCTGAAATTTTTTCCTTTCGTCGATGAAATTGACTATTTCTTGAACACTAAGTTCTTCGTGTGGAATACGTTACGTTTGAGAAAACTTATTAAACGTACAGATAGTTTTGAGATAAATTCGAATCCGTATGCGTTTAAGACGGATTAGATTACTCGTAATCGTTACTGAGCTTCTTAGGCAGTTCCTATTTCCTATACTGCCTGGAGAAACATTGCAATCGTTCATGTATCACTGTTCCGACTATAACATGACGTTGATGATCGTAACTAAGCATCAGTACGTTTCACTTTATAGAGATACATTGCCTTACGATTATTATTCTGTTAATTTTGTTAGCTATTCGTTTATTTATTGATTGTTGTTCATTAGATCTCTTCTCGATCTTTTCGTAGTAGTTAACAATTGCGTGAGGACCAAGTGTGAATTTCTTCCAATTCAATGATACAATTTGATGAGAAATTAATGGAAATCGTGAATCATTTGTGTAATGTTTACACAATCATATTATACATTGAAGATTAGCTCAGAAAGATGGTAAAAATCTACGAATTATTATGATGCATAGTAAAATTATTTATGTAAACATTTTACTGAGTTTCAAAAGGCTTTGATTGAGCAATGATTCATTGATATATTCAATCTCGATGAATAGGAAACACGCACATATCTGATAGATACTGGGCGATTTGTGAAAGGCTTAAATCGAAGCCTGCGTATGTAAGTCGAGTCATATTACCATACTGCCTTAATAGTAATTTAAAAGGATACTTTTTACAATAATTTCTTATGGATAAGCTCGAGAAACGTGTACGTCTCAATAGACTGATTTGAATGTCGCCATATTGAAATTAAGAAGGACGAAGAGGAAGAAAAAGATAATCAAAACGCGTTACCGTAATCGATAACCTAGACGTTAAGGTTGCGTGTACGTTAAGTAGATAAAACATTATTAAAGCAGTTTGCTATCTTAATTTCGCGATGGAGGTACGATTTCTTACAAATGACGCGTAAGAAAGATTTTTTCCTTTTTTTTTTCTTTTTTTCTTTTTTTTTTTTTTTTTTTTTTTTAAATATTTTACATCGAAGTAAATGCCTCGACGAAACAGAACGTTACTATTATATTTAGCATACCATTTATAAAATTCGTAAGCATTTTCTTCGATAAACTAATGTAGCAGTATTTACTACATTTCAGTCTGCAGTATAGGCAGATGTCTTTCAGCAATTAGATTGTGTCGAATATTACGATTTATATAGCGGTGAAATAATCACTACGTTATCGTCGAGATAATTTGTCCGATTGAAAATTGGGCGTTAAGCAGTCGAGTTCATTATTCTATTTATTCCGTTTTCGTTTTTCCTCTTGCGGCAATCACCGCCAGCTTGTCCAATACATTTAAGTAGTGTATAAAATGACAAAAAAAAAAAAAAGGAAATTGTTATGCAATGTAGGCAACGAGATTAAGATCGAAATTCGTATTTTTATGAATAAAGTGAAACTGAAACACGATACACTTTAGAACGTAAGTTTATTTATACGCGTTAAATTTTTAATATGATTTTCAAGTAGTAGGATGTTTAAGCAAAAATTGCTTTTATAAGAGTGATTTTTATCGACGCAATATTTTGTGCGGCGTAATAACTTTTATTTCGTATATTGACGGACAACGGTGATGCAGAAGGGGAACTCCCGACTCGGACAAACACTCGGCTAATGATATGTAAATATGGCGGAGCTAATCAAGCGGCTGTGCCAACAGGATGCAAGAAGAGATCGGTAGTGCCGTGCGAGCGTTCGATAGCCAATGCATTTGCGCTGGCCTGCACACACGTATCGTGGCGCAGTAACTCGCGTACATATTTAATGGTCGCACGTTAATTGCGCTCTGTTTGCCCATTCCCCATTCTACGCTTCATCCCCATACCTACAACCATTCTCGTCACCCTTCCTCTATCCGCCCTTCTCCTTTGTTAGTTTCTGCCAGAGTTTAATTTTAACCAATTTATCTCGAACGCGTTCAATCGTTTATTATCGAAATCGCACGTAAAACACGAATCTCAGTGACATATATTTATTTATTTCTTTTCTTTTTTCCAATGTTCCCTCCAACATTGTCGTTCAATATCGTATAATTGTTATAATGGAATCGGTGATAATGTTCCCTTATTCATACTATATTTAGAATACGAATAGTTTACCTAAGCGATAAGCAGCGGAAATGACGAAGTAGAATTCGAAGATAAAGTCATACGTAGAGCAGTTACCATTCGAATGCTGACTCCCTAGTTCGATGTTTGGTCGCTAGATGGACAAATGGCGGCGTCATTTTTCTACGTGAAATTCAAATCGAGGTGGAGTTCACGCGTCTCGTGCGGGTCAGACGGTATTCGCTTCCTACGATCGATCAAATTGTAACTTCGTAATAGAATGTGTGCAGTGAAATATAACCACTTCCAGAATCATCGACTAGAGACCTGCGAGCAAAGCTATTGTATCGTTGCAGGAAGCAATCTTCGCCAAGAATGACAAAGGTATTTCGAGTCACTGTTCTTCCAAATGCTTGGCAGTAAATTTTCCCGCTTTTAAATTGCGTTGCGTCGCAATCGTAAAATTAAGACCTTCGATGCTACGACGATAACGCGACACGATGCGTTTCAATTCTCCTTCGTTTTAACATCTGCGTAAATTTCAATTCATCAAACGGTTAGTTTTTAATACGGTGGTTATAGAGATAACATAACCATAAAACACAAATTTCGTGGAATGCATCACGTGATATAGAAAAAGCGTGGCAGGGAGGAGGGACGGTAACGGTAATGACATCTATTTAGTTTGTTGGTATACTATGCTTAGACCAGTTGTAGCCGGTAATGATTCTTCTGGCGCTGCGGATAGTCCAAGTGGAACGTAAACTTCGAAGCGTGCCATAGTTTCTTCGGCTCGGGATAAACAAATTACAGTGAACTTTCAAATATTGATACTCATTCCTCGCCAAGCGACACAACGTTACGTGTACGGTAAGAAACGATGCTTTACCATTTGCAACATAAGACTATGATATTCGCAATTTTCTCGATTGGTAAACTGTTCGTTTTCATCGACCGTAGACGAACGTTGACAGCTACGCGTTCAAACAGATTTCGAACGATATAACGGGAGACTGTTTTATTGACCTACCCATAAGATTATATCGCATACGAGTATAGTGTTTCTTAGCATTCTTAGTGTTTCTCAACCAGGCTGTTCGGTGTTCTCAACATTCGGCTCTCAAATTTTCGACGAGACGTACCTTCGCAGACATATTTGTTACTTATTCGCGACTCTCGATAACGCAACATTCGAGGTTATCGAACTCGATTCGAAACCGATAGAGTTTCATCGCTCACTGTCCCTACTTGACGGTTAATTTTCGGTTAGGTCGTATTCACCAGGGAAAAAAAAAAAAAAAAAAAAGGGAAAAAGGAAAAAAATAGCGAATCTGCTCGTGTCGAGATTTACTTGCATTTATCGCGTTCCATTACTGTCGATGGACGATTCGGTCGCCATCAGCAACGTCGCCACTGCCAACCAGCATCGCCAGTCCCAATTAAAAGCCCCTCATCGTCGCTCCGAAATTGATATCGGGAAACAAAAACGCCAATTCCAGGCGTCTACTTCGCATGTTACGTGCACGCGTATACCCGCTGAATACGTATACACTCGATGATCTGTCTCGCGCGTGTGTGTGCCGTACGTTCTTGCCCTCGCGCACGTACACGCTCGCGCTGGTCTTGGAAGTGTTAATTGACCGCTGCCGGTCATTACACGGTTGATCGCAATTAAACACCGCAATTTTGCGAACGGACGTTCGGCTTTATGCCGAATTAAAATTACAGTGTTCGCAAAGTAACGCGCACCGTTCGTTTGCCGAGTTTCACGGATCGCGAGTTCGATAGATACCGCTCGATGTCCAACGAGGTGTAACCTTCTCGAGTTTCTTTTCGAGTCTCGTGAAACGAACCACGCACCCGGGTCTCGTCTACGTTTGCAATAATTGCTGCGCGGCGATCGAATTTCGGGCATTAACGTTCGTCGTTAATCATTACAGACCACCGGCGAGCCGTGGCGCGGGGCGGAGTGGGGGATCGCGCCCACTTCCCCCTCCCCCTCGATCCCTTGGTTTTCAGCGATCCAGCAGAGGTCGCGGTTGCGCTGGTGTAGGTAATGTATTCGGGATTCTAGTCGTGTCGCGACGTTATTATTCCGTCGCGATGTGTAAAACTAGTTGACGCTTCGTAAACCTCGATTTCACGCCTCGTCGACCTCTAATTAATGCAGTAGGAAATTGTTATTCCGTTACGTGCACTCTACGTTCTATGCATTATTTCGGATAGCTGATCGTAACGGCCGCCGGTGTCCACTGTACCCTTCACCGTCCATTTACCTTTCGCGCGGCATTAATCGTTCTTTCGGTCACGGATGCGGACCGTTCTTTCCCCGATTATCCGTCGCGCTGCAGCGAATCTCGGTGAAATCTTTATGATCCATCCCGAATATTGTCGTCAATTATAAAGCACCGAACGCGATACTTCCATTCGCTGGAACAATTCTGTCCTGTAATCTCGATATTCGATTGAAACAGACGGCGCATACGCGTGTCTTTCGTTGAAAGAGTTCTATTTGCATCGCGACTGATCCTCGCGTTCGATTCGATCGACTGCAGAGGCATCTGTCCGGTTGGTCGTTAAGTCTGTCCGCCGTGTGTCCGGACGGGAACGCGGACGGACGAAAGTTTCTAACGATTGAACTTTCCAGCTGCTGTCGGCGGTGGTCGACGTTCAGGCTCGTTCGTTTGCTAATGGCGGCGATAATTTATCGAAATCGGTCGAATAATTACACGGAACGTCGTCGCGTCGCGATTGTTCGCTAACTACGTAGTCAGATTGTCGCGTTGGTTAGTCCGGGCGTAAAGAGTA